TGCACAAGCAAGAAGCGAGCAGAAATCGCTGGGGCACAGCTCGAAAACGTTGGCGGCCTGAGGCAGGCAGAAATGTCATGCGTGCACGCAAAGGCATGTGGGAAACTGTCGGTGCGAAGCTCAGCTGTCTTTTACATCAAGTTGCAGGCTTGCAGGCGGCGAGGCATGCTTTGCGCCTGCAAAGAGAGACTGGCTCCTTGCAAACAGCCACAAAGGATGCAGGGCCAAGGTGTGCCCCGCAGGCCGCGCGGAGCTTGCGCACCGCTAAGGAACCGAGCTTTGGAAGAGCCAGTGTGTAGTCTTGCAATGACTCTGCGGTGGGAACGTGCATGCTACCCCACGGACCTGAGCAGACGTAGGTACGCGTGTCTGTGTCCACCTGCAGAGCTGTTGTCTCGGCTTCGCTTTCCGATGAGCTATGCATGAGGGCGTATTCTTCCACTGCTTCGGCTTCTGGGTCGGATGCCTTGCTGTTCGCTGGCTGGATCTTCTGTGGGCACGATGAGGACTGCGTTTGTAGGGGACGAGACGGGCGAGTTGTCCAAGGGCTCCTGAGATGCATGCATGGACTCGTGTCTGGATGTGAAGATGCGCCAGGGTCCCTCTAGAAGGGACGAAGCTGGGAGGTGCTCTGCTGGATGCGTGCGAGGGGCCTCGAACGGAGGTTCTGGCACAGGGGCACTACCTCCGCGTGCCGCCAGCCGTTTGCGATTGCAAGTGCGATGCTGCGCTGGACGTGCAGGCTTGCAAAGGTGTCATTGCGGGAATAAAGTCGCGCACTGTCACGGTGGTGGCCCTGTGAAAGCCTGTCATCTCTGGAGAGTCGGAGCTGGGCCGCAGAAGCGAGAGAAGTGGATTTCATGCTGTGCAAAGTCAAGGCGCCGGCCTCCGATGCCTGAGCCTCTCCTCTCTCCTACTGGCTTGCCACGCAGCAAGCAGCACAGTCGCTTCCATCTACTACGGCTGGTGTCGCCACACAGCAAGCAGCGCAGCCCGAAAGCAGAAAAAGAGAGCGCGCAGCGGGCCACCTGCGTGCAGGTGGTCTTTAGAACACTGGAGACTTGCCCTCCTCATAAAGCCACACAGCTGCACATCGCTCCTGTGTCTGATTGGTAGAAAGGTATTTTCCAAGGCCCTGCAACGTATAGTTAGTTGGCACGGCTAAGTCCTGAGGCACCACGCAACAGCTCGAATGAGTAGTAATAACATCGCTAGCACCTGCGTGTGCATGTGCGGCGGTCCCGAGTGGAGGGTGTGCTCCGCACACTCTCCTTCTGGATTGCTCTTTGAGTAGCCTGCAGTTCCAAAGAAAGGAGACGCTGGAGTGTTCCTGAGTCCCTCCCTTGAAGAGCGTAGCCGCAGTTCCCAGTTGCCACTGGACGTTGCGTAGTGTATAGTTTGCATTGGCTCTTGTGTCGTCATTGACTTACGACTGTTCTGGGTTGACCACGCTTAGATGTTTACTCCGTAGCGTTCTCTATGTGTTATCTGGCTTTTTGGTTGCATTTTTGGGTCGTTGCTTCTTGGCTAGTAAGTGCGAGAACGTCATGAAGAGCCTACGGCCTAATTCATTCCCAACTCTGTTTTGGACCAGGGACCGAGAGGCCCGGACGGTTCTTTGCAGTAGTTTGCAGTAGTTTGCGCTTTTGGTTACCTTTCTTTTTTACCGACTTTCCTTTGTCCTGTTGCCTCACTTGGTTAGTAAGTGCGAGAAAGCCGAGTTTGGCTTGTGACTAATTAATCTTTTGACGGATAGGAGACCGAAAGGCTCCATCTTCCGCTGCCTGCTAGTTATTGCCGACCGACCATCGGAATTGATGTGCTTCGGCAGAGGGAGGCTTTTCGCGCAAAAAAAATAAGGTGCGCCTCATCGCCCAAGCGAGTACGCCACTCAGTATGTCCTCCGATGGGCTGATTCAGCAACGATCACGCCTCGCCTAGAAGTGATTGGAGACGGCGACCGCTCCAGGAAAGGAGAAGTTCTTAGCTTACTCCCTGGCCACGCTGTCATGGTTTCGCCATCACCGCACACACGCAGCTGATATCGGACCCCGAAACCTCGAGGTAAGATGTCAGCAAAGCCAGTCCTCGGACATGCGGGAGTTGTCATTCTTCGATTTGGAGGGGTGGCAACTCAAGCGTGCCAAGAAAGATCCAGACTACTGGCGTGGAATCTGGTCGCTGGTGGCAAGGTTCAGCCCGAAGAGCAAAGCCAAATTGCGCCTGTGTGTAGAGACTTCTAGGGGCAACTGGGCTGGCATGTTCGTTGCCTTCAGTGCCTGGTCAAGGGGTCCTAGCAATGGCCACCTGCTGTTCGAGTAGGGCTGAGTGGCCAACGCTCGAGGGACTCCTCTCCCATGCAGGAGGGAAGGAGTCCACCCTCGGTAGTGAACAAAGTACACCGGGGGGAAGAGCTTCGACCAGGAGGCCAGGCCAAACCGCCGGTGCGCGCGTGTGAAAAGCCACCAGTTGTGCTGGTAGTACTTTTGGTTGTCCTGACGACGGAAGCTGTATGGTGCATGCGTTCTGCCCACTTGCTTGTTTGTAGTTGGTTTTGCGAGGTGTTGTTGTTAGTAGGAACGCTTGAGTGAAGCTTTTTGGTGTAGGAAGCTTTGCCGAAGCTTGTAGAGTGGTAGGAGTGTGCGTGAGCTTGGTAGGAAGCTTTGGAACTGTGTAGGAGTTTGCTGCTGAGCGCCGATGGTCACGCAGTACTGCAAGCATGGCCTGATCTTACGCAATCTTCTGCTTTAGTGTTTTGCATGCGCTCCGCACCCACCTTCGCATCCTTGCTGAGGCTGATGCATTTGCGGACTCCGGTCAATGCGGCCTGGGCGGTCATGTTACGTGGCCATCTGGCGCCTACACTTGGTTTTCTATGCGCCTCTCCGCGGAGGAGCTGCGAATCTTAGCACCACCCATGAATGTCATGGATGTTGGTAGGTTTTCCAACACAACCTCCTGCTGATGCAATACGCATCAGGAGTTCCCTGGATCTGTCGTGAAGTAACGCTGAGTCGTGTGTCGATACCGTTTGTGCGGGACAGCAGGCGGTCCAGCGCCCACCTTTTTTTGCACGCAAAGCCTCGCTAATCAATTCCGATGGCCGGTAAGCGTAAACTTGCAGAATGGCTTGCAGTGGTAACAGCATAGCCATAACGAATTAGCCAGGCGTGATCCGAGTGGATGAACCCAGTCAAACCATAAGCTAATAATCAGCAAGAAAGGAAAAGAGAAGGCAACTCGAAGAAACCACGCCAAAAAAAAAAACACAGCAAGAAAGGCCCACGCAGCCCGCGCTCGGTTGCACGGTTGGCCCTTTAGTGTCCCTGGTTTGCTTGCTCGAACTGCTTAAAAGGCGCACCGCGTGCCCACAGTGTCGCAAAGACTCCCAGGCAGCCATTTGTGTACCTTTGGGCGCTTGCCTCCCAGAACGAGGTTGCCTTCGCCGTCGCAGATTGTCGCTCAAATGTCTGCGAGGCAGCAGTCACGAGCGTGAGTGGAGCTGCAGTTCGCCACATGTTCGATGTTCGCGTGCCTATTCTGAGACACGCGTCGTGGCATTGCTGTGATCTGTGCCTGCACTAACCCCCTTCTCCTTCATGGTCTGGTAGGGGTCCCGTGTATGGTCCATCCCCACTTAAGGGGGGGACATATTCCAAGTTCCTTCAACATGCAATTCCCATCTTTGAAGCCCTTAATGGCTTCAAGCTTCCCACCTTCCCTGCCCCAAGCAGCTTCAAAAGGATAGCATCCTGAGTCTTGGCAGCGGCGCTAGGAATATGGGAACATATTATACTATATGAGCTATAGTCTAAACTTTTTAAAGGGGGTTAGGGGACTACTAGAGGGGTTATTAAGGGGTATACTAGGAGTTTAGACTATAGCTCATGTAGGGATTCAATAAGGATTCTATACCCAGCATCTGGGCACCGCTTTGATGAGCTCAGCCTACCCCCCAAAACAGCTATCTTCGTGCGTGCCGATGGTTGCCTTTCTCTGAGCAGGCCGCAGCGAAGCTGTGTGTCAGTCCCTTGAGCTCAGTGTGTGCGGTTGTGGAGAGTTGGAGCACAGCTTGTAAATGCTTGTGCAGAGCCGCTCATGGCTGTGGGCTCTTGGCGCCAATGCCTGATCCGAAAGGCTACCGTCGCCGCTAGGCCAGCAGCCGGCGTCAAGTGGTTGACAAAAAGTTTGGGAGCAATGAGAAGCGCAAAGCTGGCATGGTGTGTGGGGAGGCTCGTAGGTCTCTGCGGTAGATCGCAGCGCCGTTTGTGAAGACACGTGGATCCCGCGCTTTGCCCTGGAAGTATGCATCGCTGGGCAAAACGTCAGGCGCATTTGTTCAAGTCCGGGAGCTTTAAAAGTGCAGCCAAGGTGCCTCAAGGGCTTTAAGATGTCTGGCGGCAGTCAGAAGCCTTTGTAAGAGGTGAGAAGCTTGATGCTTTTGGGCTGCTTATGCTGTGTCGCCGCAAAAACGGCTCTTCAATGCGCAGGGCGGGCACAGTTTTTGGTGACCGCTGGCGGACTGCGAACGGGGATCGTGAGGTGCCGGTAGGGGGTTTGCGTAGGTCCGGGTAAGTATCTTTCCTTGGCGGGCATTGTGAGTCCCAGCGCGTGTTTGCTGACCAGGACGAATCATGCTGTGCTGCTCGCCTGCTCAGATTTTTGTGTGTGCCGAAGACTGTGCAAGTAGCCAACTGGCGATGTTTCGGACGGGTCTTTCCACTTTCTCAGTATGGCTGGTGCGATATCTGCATCGATGTTTGCTCAAAGGCTTGCAGAAACAAGCATCCGGGCCAAGTTGGAAGTGCGAGTTCCTGATTTGTGAACCGTCTGAGCTCAAAGGTCCTGCGAAAACACACGGGTGACTGCCTCCCTCAGCAAGACTGCGTCATCCCAAGATCGCTCGGTGCGACCTGGCTTGCGAGCTTCTGCGCGCAGGATTTGAACTGTCAGCACCGCTGTGTCAGTTGCCATTCTGGCAAGCCCTTTGCCTCTTTAGCAAAGACCTTCAGTCGCATTGGTGCGTGGCCTTACTGATTCAGCAGGATGACGGTATGCGTGGGGTGTCTTCCACGGCAAGAATCTAGTAACAATGCCAGCCCGTATGCGCGCCACAGTCCCTAAGACCACTTTGCAGCATCGACAGTTGTGGGTGCAGTTTGCGGATGATCTAGGATGAGGTGCATCTGGACTCCACGGAGTCAGCGTAAGCAGATATGGAATGTAGAATAATTTAGAATAATGTAGAAGATTGCAGAAGAATGTAGAATAATGTAGATAGGGGGCCCGCCTCCTAAATTCTACAGTCAGAGATAGGAAGGGAAACACTGGGAACACCGCAGGAATGAGATATGAATTATTGTCTAAACTCCTTAGTGGAGTTTAAGTTTAGACTATAGCTCATATGAGCTGTTGTCAATATTAGCCTCCAGGTTGGACATAGGGGTCCCTGTTGTAGCTTAGTATAGTCCCTTGTATAGTCCTTCAAAAGGAACCCATGTCCATAAAATTGGGCATGAAATATTGATTGTAGCTAATACTGGAGTTCCATGGGGGCCCCCAAACTAGACTTCGAAGAAGTGTAAGCCTTCTTATACAATAGGGACTCCTAAAAGCAGCAGCGATCTTTTTGGGAAATGCCCATACAAAGTTGTGATGGAAAGCGTGAGCTGCAGGCAAAGGCATGTAGAGAGAGAGAGAGAGAGGTAGAGTTCCACCCAGCGCCGCCGCCAGGGTTATATTGGGATAATGACAAATACAGTTGAAACTACTATAGTATTTAAGGGGCTGCGCCCAGG